ATCTATATGGACATTTTCTGTGTAGCATGGAGCATATTTATTTAACTAAGTGCTAGGAATCAAATGGTGGGAGGATATATGAGAGGTTAAGCAATAGAAACCCCACTGATTCTCTTTTAAAAGAGTATGTCCATGATAGTATAATTATCTAATTAAAAGATTACATGAATTTATAGAAAAGATGGCTAGTCAAATGAGCAAATATCTCTGTTGATCTGCTTTTGCAAGATTTCACATAGTAGGTCAGAGCCAACCAAGGCATGATAATAAATGGAAGGCAGTCACTGGGAGGCTAGTGAACAGAAAGGTCAGGCAAATTAGAAAGTTTACCTGAAGATCCAATAAAAAGCAGACATAAACACATACAAAAATATAGAAAAAAATATTTGAGAGATATCAAGAATACATTGACATTTGCTAGGTGAGAGAAATAAGCTAATTGAAAATAGAATATTGATGTTATATAGGATTTCTCTCAAATTAATTGACCAAATCTACCTGTGAATTTATTCCCAGCCTCATTCATTTTTTGCTCATTTCCTCCAAGTTCAGAATAAAAGATATTCTGTTTATGTTCAATGAAAGTCTTTCTTAAAAATGTCCTAAAACTCCAACCAAACCCTGTAGTTTCAACATCTCTACTTTCTGTACTTTCATTCTTAGATGAATGTACTTGTACATTATTCTTCAATTTATTGTAATTAGAAGTTTACTCAGGCTATGCAAGCGATATTATTCACGCTGATGTCTCTTACAACTTTGTAATTGCCAAGTTCAGCAGATGTGTTTTTGTTCACAACTTATTGGCCAGCTCTGCTACATTGGAAGACCTAAAATGCCCATTGGAAGTCTTGAAATTATGCTTGGTCCTTCTTGCCTGTGTGATACACGTGTAACATGTTAACTTTGCTTCAAATATGACCTCATTATATGGCTCACTCTTCATTTCCTTATCCTTTAGTCCAGGCCTTAGTTATCTCTCCCTTGAACTCACTTTATCTCTTTGCCTGTATCCTTCCGCCAACTTCCCTGCTCTCCAGGTTACTTGCTTCTTAATGGTAGCTCATCTTAGACCCATAGAAGAAAATCAGGTTTTTAATGGAGTATCCATAGACCTCCATTATCTTCCCCTACTTGGTTTTCAGCTGCCCTTTCACAGAATCCCCAAACCAGCTAACACCATTATTACTCTCATTCCTGCTAAAAATACTAAAAAATAGATATTTTTCACATTCTAAACTCTTTTTGTTTTACATGTGGTTCTGTCTGCAATATATTCTCTCTCTCCTATTCTACTACATAATACTTTATCATCATCAGATTTATCCCACATACGAAGAAAGTCTCTCCTCTTTTCAGCTACATGAGGTGCTCTTTCTTATTATAAGATAGTCTGTGAATATCCATAAGAACTGTACTTACTATATGTTTATGAATCCAGCTGCTCCATAAACAACAAAGAAGTTTAGTAAAGTCGATTATTTTAAGTCATTGAGATAAAACTATAAATGCAATAATGAAAATGATGATGTACTAGACCTGTCAGTATTCCCAGAATAACATAGTATAAAACATATAGCTAGCACTTTGCGTGTATCTGTGGAATAAACATATTAATGCAATATTAATTAATTAATTTTGTAATGATAGTAAAAAATATTCAGTTAAATTTTAAATATCTTCAAATGTGATAAAAAATTGTGATAAATGATCAGGGAAAGTGAGAGTATAAGATATCTAAGGGACACTCAGGTAGGTAATTTCAGAAGTACCCCTAGGTCAGATAATGTTTAAATTGATTGTCTAAAGAGGAAAAAGTATCAGTGGCATTGTATTTGTCTGCTTTTTTTGTGATAACAAACAGCTTTAAAATTTCAGCACTTAAAATAACTTTTATGCTTTATTTCATATTCATCTTATGTGTCTGCACTTAAACAGTATCAGCTGTGCCTCATGTTTTCATCATGGGGCCAAGGATGAAAGGGAAGTCCCTATTTGGAGCATGCATATTAGTTTCAGCAGAAGAAAAGAACAAGGGAATGTAAGAAAACGTAATATTTCTTGAAGCATTTCAGCCATGGTGTGTATTATGCTTGCTTATATGCCATTGGCCAGAGAAAGTCACATGATCCATTGGATGGGGCTGTGTAATCCCCCCATTGGCGGCACCGTACTTCACATGGCAATAGTGAGTGGTGTATAATCTTCTTCAAGTGAAAAGAAGAAATATTTGTGAAAAATAACAAACGACATTATGAAATACATTACGAAAGTTATGGAAGGGGTTAAGGTAAAAAAAATCCTTACCTTAATATTTAGTATTGCTGGCATGACAGAAGAACCTAGCAAGCATATCTTTCAACTAATTGTTGAAACAAAATAGTATAAATTGGTGCAGAGAAAAGGTTTGCAAAGAGCAAACAATGTAATAAAGAGCAGAGCCTCTTTCAGAGCCAAAATTTGATAAGGAAGCAGTGTATGTGAACAAATACATGACGGGAGCATAGTGTCAGGACTTCAATATACTTGTGGGGGAAGGAGATGAATGAAAAGGAACCGGGATAAAGGCAAAATAAGTAAAGATAAAAATTCGTAGCAAGTAAATGAAAGGGCTTGGAATATAAATTGAAAGGAAGGGCATAGAACATGAGTCAGATTTTACAATTGAAGAAAGAAGTTAATATGGATAAAAGTAGTGCTTTAATTTTATTGTTACTTCTTGTGGCCTTAAACTTCTCACTGAAATATTTTCAAGAGATTTTATAAGAGAGGCATACTAAGGCAAAGCTTTCAGAGAAGCTCAAGATTTAAAAGGAGCTGGTAAGCAGGCTAAGAGTCAATAAGACTGAAGTAGAATAATTTTTCTGGCTGAGTCAAGGCAAAATGTGACAGAGAAGCACAGGTGTCTGATAGCATTAGTCAATGCAGTCTCTCGACAAGATCCAACTGTATCACCCACAAGAGGAATCAATTGATGGTTGATTCTGTGAACACTGCTATTTTGAAGAGAAGAGGTTCTAGGAATTTTAAGGTATGAGAGCTGGTGACCATAAAGGGAAAATATGACTAATTAGCATAGTTCCAAAACAGGAGATGAGATTAGGATCTGTGGTTGATTCTGTTAGAATAAAGTGGGATATGGAGGAGGACTTGCTTTTGGGAAGGTCAGCTTGACATAGACAAAACAGTACATTATCTTCATGGTTGATATCAGTGGCACAAAATAACATAATCCAGCATTGATCTCCCTATGGATACTAAAATAAATAAGTAGAGAAATGCAATACTAAATATTCCAGTTTTAATGTAAACCATGACAGACATGAGGACCTAAATTTTGCTAATTGGATGCACACCCATATCTGAATAATCTTTCCTTCAAAATAAATGTAATCATTATTAAACAAACACAGATCATCTAGTATGGAAACAGAACACACTACAAATGCATTAAAGAAGGTATTAAGGAACAAATTACAATAGCAGAATGGGTAATAAAGGGTTACTATGCCTGCCAGATAATATTTGTTTTTTAATGTCATATTTGAATCAATGTTTTAGTTTAAAATATATATAATTACTTATACGTTTGTATTTATAACAGCATAATATAGTAAATATATACTACTTCCTATAAACATCACTTTTTAAAGAACTTTACATATATTAATTTATATTATAATTTCCATTTTCATAAGGCACTACTGAACACAAAGACTTGCTCATGATGAAATATGCTTTCATATGCTACTTTAAATCCTTTTGGAAACAAAATGTGGGAGACAGTTAAGTCAATAATTAACAAACTAAATAGCCACTGTATGTTACCTTTGTTTACTGTATATAATAGAGAAAGAGATAAGAGATGCACATAAATATAGATATGAATAGACAGCTCCATATTTAAACCTAATCCTTCAAGCACTGAAAGTGGAGTTCAACCCTCCAATGATTATGGCACCCTTAATAATGGAAGACTTTCTCTCCTATAAAGGATGCTGACAAAATTTAGATCTCCTCTAAGGATCCAGTTTCCCTATGGCTTAAATCTTGCTTGCTCAGGGCAGAATATTTAAGGAAGGGGGCCAATCACAAAAGGTTCCTATGCCATGAAAAGCAGTTGTTTTGATTTCATTTTGAAGGTAATGAGAACCATGGAAGAATAATCATAGTTTAAAGGTTTGGTGGTGAAAATGGTGGAATTGTGAGATTAAGAGTAGAGAAACCAAGCTGTGGCAATTTAACCCTTTGGACTCACTTGCTTTTTTCTCATTATCCACTCGACATTATCCACACTCAACATCCGAGTGCAAAGGGTTAAGAAAAGTCATTAGAAAGTATCAGCACTCTCATGGAAAACATGATGATAGACAAAATAGACTATGTTTAACATATGTTGAAAAATACAATAGGCATGTCTTGATAGCACCTTAGCTTACCAGGAGACATCTAGGATAACTTTGATATCTCTTTTAGCTTCATAGAATGTCATGTTAACACAGGCAGAAAATATAGTAAGAGAAGCACTTTTGGAGGAAGAGAGGTCATCTTGATTTCATAAACTTAGTTATAATGTTCGGTAATAGTTGAAAAGTTAATCTTATAAATTCAATTGTTAGATTTGAGAAAAATTCAAATAAGGTCCAATAATTTATATAAGTAATTAATGTAATTTAAAAGTGAAATTTAGTGTTATACTTTATTATGCTTATTGGACATTCAACATCTAGAAATCCGATAATTAGGCAATTACCTTCATATAGACTCTTTAAGAAGTACTGTGAAGATGACAGTGTAAAATAAGTCATGGATCCTGCCTTGAGGTATATTACAGTGTAAGAGAAGCCAACGTAGGAGTGGAGAGATTTCTTCCAGCATAGAAGAGGTTAATTAGGAAATTCTTGTGTTTTGAGTTTACACAGTTGCTCTTTTAATAAACATATTGCTAAAATGAAACATAAAATGAAGCATAACATATGTGCAAATTAATGACTGCTTACCATTAACAATAACAATGATATCACGAAAGTCAATTTCTCCCCTGGCTTCCACTCTTCCTTCACACCTGTATATACCTTCATCACTCTTATTGATGTTGAGAATCTGCAGATTATTGTTTGCTAACATAGCGAACCGGTCTGGAAAGTAAGCAGAGGGGAGAAAATGATATCAGTAATTGAAGGCTGAGTCCAGTGTACTCTAAATTGCTAAGAGTTAAAATATGGCACTGTCTGGCACTATCAAACTTTTCATCAGCAAACAAATTCAAATTTGAAAGTAAAATGTAATTTCATGACTTCAGTGTTTCCACTCCACACTGCTTTGTTATACCTTTTTTTTTTTTTTCTAAATAGCATTCAAGACTTTATATCCACATGAAATGGTTAGGATATTATTTTCTCCTTGGTGCTTTGAATGCAGAAATGATACATAAAAGAACAATGTGGAGAGATTAGATATCACAGACATGAAAACTTTTGACTGAAAATCTGTAGCAACTTGGTTTAGAAAAGGATAAGAAAATTTATTGAACATTCTACCTCATACAATAATTAAACTAATAATTTTGCATACCCTGAGGAGGCAGCTAAATGATACAATAATATTCAAGTCACATAAAGGATATGAAAATGGTTATACCTCAAAGTTACTTAAGGGATTTTTTTGGCTAATGAGATAATCTGTTTTAGGAATGAATAGTTCAGACTTCATTAATTTTATTTAAATCTTCCATTTGTGTGTATGTGTGCACTTGCATACATACAACAATAAGCCAGTATAGAATGTGCATTAAATGATTTCTTAAAGTAATCTGCTAAAATAGTCTGAGATGCCTAAGCAGCATTGAGTCTGGAAAATATTTTCCATGTCTGGCCTCAGTTTATAGCCATCACATTTTGTTGCAGTGCTAAAACTGTTTCTCTTATCATTTAAGGAGGGCTTTCACACCTAGTCCTATTTTGAAACATGTTATACAGGCAAAATCTTTACATATTCATTGATCTCATTGACCATCATCCATTTGCTAGATACTGTATTTAAGATATATTGATGAATAAGTCTCTATCCCCTTTGGGTCTTTTGGTCAAGTATTAATACAAATACCGTTATTTTAAGATATGTAGCCCCTAAGTTATCTACAGTCTGTAGGTTACTATGTGGATCTATTCCAATGTCTACTGCTTTTCCCCTATGTGCTTGCTTGGTAGGGAGGTTAGAGCTATCACTGAAGTCACATGTGAAAAAAGTAGAGCCTCTGTCAGTCTGGATAATTGAATGGTTGGGTGGGGTGGAATCCTGCTTTCACCCTTGCTGCCAATTGAGATTTCCATGAGACATTATGGTAGGAAGCCACATGGATTTTCAGGTTAATTTGCCATGGAAATTCATTAAATGGGAGGGGAGAAGTTTGGGCTAGACATAACAAATAGAGGCGTTATTAGGCTCTAGACAGACATTAAAACAGTCAAGCAAGTGATTATTTGTTATCTAAGAGATAACTAAAAGGGAGTGAAAGTGTGTAGATTCACAGGCTCCCTCAGAGAAAAAATACTGATTATAAAATTACAGCCACATGGTTTTCAGTCCAGGAGGTATAACTTCTCCATCATGTTTATTTCTTCTTTTGCTTGACCCTAAGAAGAGAGATTAAAAAGACTATGCAGATCCTTTCTCCTGGTAAATTAAAGAACAAACATGAAATTTCCTCACCAAAGGAAAGAATAAAGATTAAAAAAAAACAATCTGCAAGAAACTTTAAACTATTAAAGACATAAATAGTCCTGGAATAACTCAGAACTCCTGGAAATCCATACATTGCAAGTCTATTAAAATATCCTCTTTTAAAGTGTATGGCAGAAAATTAGAATGAGAAAAAAATATAAATAAAAAAGTTCAAAATTAGGAGAGACACACTAATAATACTTAGATCATTGTAATACTGCATTTTCTAAGTTGTGAAAATACATATGATCTTTTAATTATAATACTTGTTAGTGGTTACATTTCATTTGAATTAGGAAAAATCATACAGAGAAGCATTTTAATCAGGCAGGGAATACTTGATATGAAACAAAAAGAATTATAATTACATAATACATATTTTTGATGGGAATAAGTTGGCATTTTTTTCTAACTGAAAATTTTATTTTCAAATGGCCATTTTAATGCATTATCTCTACTGTGAGAAAACCGTTAGTACATTAGGAAATCAGTAACTACTTGCTAAATCTAAATGCATGCCATTATGTATGTTTATGTATACAAAAATTTCTTTCCACACAGAAAACAAACTTGTGAAAATTGCATGTCAAATACCAAATGTGTGTTTAAAGCCCATGGACTATTGCTAGAAAGCTATATAAAAAGAGGACATCATGAATATGCATTTCCAGAATACATTTGAAGAAAGCACTGCTTCAACCAGTCACACATAATTATGGAGATTAAAACTTTTTTAGTATTACAGATTATGTTTTTCCCAGTTATACAGAAATCCAATTTTCATTATCAAAGTAAGAAAAAATAAATGAAATCAGGTCATACGCAATAAGATGTCTGCTTTATGCTTCTTTAACCTAGTTATTTCTAAGTCTTTCTTTCTCCTCATTCTACACTCACTCAATGGTTTGTCTCATATACCCTTATAATTTCAATTACTATCTATCTATTAATGATTCAAAGTTTTTCTTCAGACCAGACCATTCCTGTGAGTTCCATAGCTGTTTAACAGTCTACCAGATGTGCCTAATTATCTTAATTATCTCAATACCAGCATGTCTAAAATTTAGCTCACTACCTCCACTGCAATTTCTCACCTGACATTCTCCAATTCTGTCTTAACATGCCTTTACATGGAACTAGTTGCCTAAGGAAAAATACGCAAGTTATAGAACTCTGTATGCAAGGCAAATTCCATGAGTCTTCCTCAATATCTAAATGCCCCTGAGTCTGCAACCCAATCAAACCCCGTGTCCTGTCACTCCTCCCTTTATCATTACTTAATCTAAGCCTTCTCCCTCAGAAATTATTTCATTAGCATCTGGACTATTCTCAGTGTCTAAAGTTTTGCATTGCCTCCCATCCAATTCATTTTTACTAACTTACTAATATCATTCTCAAATATATATTAGGTAATGTCACATATTAGGTGATGTCCCCTTTTGAATAAATTACAATCTCCTTAGCAGATGTCAAGGTTCTGTTATTTGGGTTGGCTTTCTTCTCCAGCTTCCTTTCTTATGAGTCCTTTACTAACGAGCCCTACTTACATTTATCCACTAGAATAAGTATTTGAGTTGTACTTATTCATAAGTTTTAGTTATAGTAAACATATGCCAGCTTCTGGAATGTGCTTTCCATACTTTCATCTCTGGGCCATTGCACATGATGTTCTGTCTTTCTGAAAATCTCCACTGCCCTTTGCAGGGCTAATCTTTGTTTATATTTAAAGGCAACTTTTTCCTCCCGACAGGCATCTTTGACATTCTCTCTTGACCTAACTAGTTTAGGTGTTCTTCTTTGTCATTCTCTATTACTACACTTGCCTTATCACAGATTCAATATATTTTGTTTTTACTCATTTATCAATTAGAGATCTTTCCCTCTAGACTATTAATAATTTAAAGGTAATATACTTGTTTATCTTGTTAACGGTGAATCACCCACATCTGGTACATGAGATGTTTAATAACTGTTGAATGACTCTTTTATACTAGTAATAGATTATATTAAAATTCCTCTGAACAAGAGGACTTCATTCATAGATTTTTTAAATGTTTGCATACAATTAAGTATTTTTGTTTTGTTTTGCTTTATTTTTTATTTCTAATTATGAGTACCTAATAGTTTCACTTCTTTCTTAGATGTGATGTGCATCAATTAGGTGTTGATCAAAGCATTAATGAAGTTTAATTAGCAAATAGCATATTTCTCCATCAGAATGACAATAAAATTCCAGATATTCAATTTTTATAATATAATGTGTTTTACTCCCTAAACCCTCCAGCATATGGATCTTTCAATGAGCAACATGGAAAACCTCCACTTACATTCTGTAGGAATTTTAATTCTGAATACCTGCCCCACAGCTGTGATCAAAAGCATAACTAATAAGATGAACTTTTCCAAGCCTTTATTGTTTCAACTGGAATATCTAAACTTTACTTTAATATCACATTAAGGCAATAGGAATTTATCAGAATCCATGACATTATTCTAATTGCCCATACACATTCCTTTGATAGTTATAAACCTAATCTTACTCCATTAGCTTTAATAAAGGAACTATGGTTCCAGAAAAGTGTTCCTTCTTCACAATTCACTTGAATACTTTAAATTCTATAATAAAAAAAATAATTACTATTTTATTTCCCTTTTCTGTTTTTTGTTTTTGCCTGCTATGTAACTCAGTGTTATATTTCATGTTAAACTATTGTCACTTTCCCCACATTGGATTTTCTGGTCTTAGATATAATGTAAATTCATATAGTTTTGGTAAAACTGATTCCAAAATTTAAAAACTCAGTAACAAGAAATGAGAATGATAAATTTCATTTATTGAGAACCTGATATATAGTCAAATAAGTTATTAATTCACTTAAAAATAAAGTACAGCTGGGCCTCTGTACAAGTGAGTTCCCCATTCTTGGATTCAAGCAACTGCTGATGAAAATATATATATTTTTAAATTGCATCTGTATGGAACTTGTACCAAGTGTTCCCCCATAATCATTCCCTAAACAATACAGTATAACAACTATTTATATACCACTTACATCGTATTAGGTATTTTACGTAATTTAGATATGATTTAAAGTATACTGGAGTATCTGCATAAGTTATATGCAAATGCTATGTTATTTTATATCAGGAACTTGGACATATGTAGATTTAGGTATTTGTGGGAGAGCCTAGAAATTGTTCGTTGAGGGCACTGATGGAATATTATATGACTCCCGTCTTATTTACAACTCAAAATCAGTGTTTTAAAATGGATGCAATATTCTATTGTTTACAGGTAAAGAGTGATTTAGGCATAGAACCATTAGAAAGTTTGTTCAAAGCATCAAGGTCAGGGAACACTTGGCCAAAATGAAATGTAAGATTTACATCATTCTATTCTGGGATCTTGAGACAACATGTACAAGCCATAGCATAGAAGCATCACTCTTCTATCACCACCACACTTGACCATCAATCATTGTTTTGAGGCTTCTACTCATTTCAAAATCTTCTTGTAATTAAGATTTACAACAAACTAGGTGTACACTTGAAACTTAAGGTTTGACAATCTGAAAATGTTTAGACACTGTTATTTTACTGCTATGAAATAAGTGCTCTTTCTTTATTATTGAGAGGAAAAAGTGCTGGAAACGTATCACACAATTACACAATTTACTCATGAGACTTGTTAATAAAATCTAAAGAGTAATGTTAAAATAATGCAAGAGGAAATAAAGTATTGCTTCTCATTAACTTATTATAATAGAAACAGTTTTAGTCCATAACTGACTAGCAATGAATACGCCAAGCTCAGAAATATGCTCTCAACATTTAAAAAATGACTATTGAACATGATTATGATACATTTATTCCTACATATTCAAAAATAGATGCTGTCTTCATTCTCTCCTTTATGCTGTAGAAGTTCCATCCCTTGGAAACACAAAACAGAATCATCCAAGATAGAAAGTATTTTAAAGATTCAATTATTTTGTACCTCTGTGCAATGCAGGTGCATTGAAAAATACCCTAAATTGAAATTGCTCCCTATGCACAATGGTAAAAGAGCATAATGTAAGCAAATTATGCTTTCAATTTCAGATGTCATATTATTCTGAAATTTTAGCTCAGTCTAAATCAAAATCATGGAGACAATTTGAGTGAATGTACTTTCTCTGTCTATTATCTATATGCACTTTCCCATAATATCTGGAACATGTAGATGTCTTGGAAAGAACAGCCCTGGAATAATAAACAGTACTCCTACAGATATTGTCTTAGGTTACATATAGTGAGCACATGGGATCATGTGTGAATTAAAAATACAGAATCTGAGTGCCACAGGATTTACTCCTTCATCTACTTAGGTACTGTTTATAAGTATTAATCTTTCTCTGAAACTAAAGCAAGGGTCAGAAAACTTTTTTAAAAAAATCTTTCCAGATATTAACTACTGCAGACTTTGTAGGCCAAACCATCTGTGCCACAGCTGTTTAACTCTGTCCCCAAAGCCACCATAGACGGTATGTCACAATTGAGCACAGCTGTATTCTGATCACAGCTTTCCAAAAAGTGTCAGTGGGGCTGAATCTGACTTGGGGTCCCTAGTATTTTATTTTGTCAAACCCTAGTCTAGAGCTGTAAGGCTCTCAAAATAGTTGTTTGACGTTTAGGGTCATAAATTCCAATTTCTATAATCAGCCATGTATATTCAGTATTTTTTTTTAATTTTCAATATTATTAGAACATATAACTTAGGGAGTTACCAAAATACTAACTGTCGGAAATAGTGGTGACTTCCTCATTATGATACAACCAGCTGACAGCAGGAGCAGGTGAGCTGCTAACTCGGCAAACAACTTCTGCATCCTCTCCTTGTTTGAATTCTTGTGGAGATACCACTTCTCTGAAAGTGAGTTTTTCTGTATGAGGAAAGTAAAACAAATCACAAAAAGTATATTATTATTTATTTCTCCAATAATATGTTCTGGATTCTATGTTTATCAGTGCTATAATAAAATAATTAGGCAAGGCTAAATACTTTAAAACTTTATAATCTAATTTCTCTACCCAATAACTTCCCATCTCACTGAGAACAAAACCCAAAGATTTTACAATATTGTACTAGATACCACATAAATTGGATTCTACCCCATAACTCTGATCCCAATTTCTCCCTCTCTTTTTAGTCACTGTGATCCAGGCAAATCGACTTCTTAGAAGTTACTTGAACACACCAAATTTGTTCTCACCCTGGGCATTTTACACTCTCTCCGATGCATTAAGATTATTTTCTGCCCAATCTCCCTTACATAAAATAGCAATATCCCTTTCAATTTCAACATTCACTATCTGTCTACTCCCATTTAATTTCTTTACTATAAAATCCTATGGTATGTACATCTAGCATTTATGTATTTTTTGGCTTATTATTTATCTGTCTCTATCTGGGGCTTGGAATAATATTGGGTACACATTTAATAAGTGCATTGAATGACTGAATGAATGAACATAGATATTTATGTTTGAGAAGAAATTTTCACAAAAGTACTGTATTGTTCTTGCAAAACATTTTTTTTTTACCTTCACAAATAAAGTATCAGGGAATCTCCCTTTGTATCATTTAAAATAATAAAATAACTTTCCAAATACTATGTCTATGTAATGACCATTTCAATTTAATTGTTTGCTATTGTGAAGTAGATACTTCAGGGAGTAACATAAATTAGGAAACTATCATTACTTGAGAAGCTTAGAATCTAATAGGAAAAACAGGCTAAATCAACAAAATAAAACAAAAGCAACAATGTGGCAAGATATTGCTCTGGTCATCAAACAGGAAGTCCTACTTTGGTAATGTTCTAACTTTGTTTTTCATATTCTGTTTCTAGATTAATATTTCAAAAGCTATAAGCATGAGCCAGCTTATATGCTTACATCTAAATGTAATCTATCTATCTATCTATCTATCTATCTATCTATCTATCTATCTATCTATCTATCTATAATTTTTCTCTGGTGGAAATGCTAACTATCACATATAGTTTAAGTCACATTTTTTAAGTGTTCCAGTATTTTTAATGCAGTCCTCAGAACAAATCTATGTATGATGAAGGTTTAATTATTTTATTCATTTTACAGATGAGGAACCTGGAGACAGAGGTAAGGTGATTTGTTCAAGGTCACCAAAGCAATTGAGAGACTGGTTTCAAACCCAGAGAGTTAACAATTTTCAAAAACAGTGTTCCTAAAAGTAAAATGATTCCTAAGTGGAAGAAAGGAAAAGGGACATAGGAAGTATCCATCTCAAGTCATAAAATGAAATGAAATTGTGAAACACCTTTTTAATGAAAATGCCTCATGGTAGAAAATCCTGGTAGAAATCATGGTAGAAATTACTCTCTACTAGATTAGTTTTCAGCTTTGTATGTACTCCTATTCATTGACCCTTCCACAAATTCTAATTCTAGAATGGTCAGTGCTATAACATATGCAATTTCATTTCTTCTAAGCAAGACAAATTATTTTAGAGCCAAAAATTATTCTTAATATATTCCATACCACTAAATAAACCACTATTTCCTATTGAACTAATGAATTTTAATAGCTTGAGAAAATGTAAACAATTTTATTTATAGTATTTAACTAACAGAATTGGTCCCATATATATGTGTATAGCCACCTACTACCTATTATCTATTCTAAGATGCAATCTAGGAAAACATAAATAAGCTGATATTTGTTGAAAGTCTAGACTTCATCACTATACAATTCATCCATGTAACAAAGCAAACAAACAAACAAAAACAAAACAAAACAAAAAAAAACATTTGTACCTCCTAAATTCATTGAAATTAAAAAAATATAAAACATACATTTTATGTTGTTTGAGTTCTTTCTAAGCAGCTACAGTTTGAATCAACTGAAACATAAATACAGGACTTACGGTAAATTTCCAAAACTACTGTAGCTTCTTGTGTCTGTCCTTTGGCATCTGTTGCTTGACAACGATATATCCCTGCATCTTCTATATTTGCATTGTAAATGGTTAGTCGTGACCTAACGCCTTCCTTTTGCACCACTACCCTCTGGGTTGAAATTATCTTCTCTCCTTGAGGATTATACCAGTCTATACTCTCAGGTTCACCAATTGCTGCAAAGAGTCATGGAAAAGAAAGATTTGAAAATACATTTTGAATGATTGTTTTGGCACTGACATTTACTATTATATAACAATTTTAGCAATTGAGAAACAAATGTAAGTAAAAGACTAGAAATCTGAAAATCTTACAAAATTGAAAGTAAACACAAATGTTAACACAAATGTTCATTTTTGTTTATCCAACATTGAAGATTCAATCTTATTTGAGTAAGCAAAACCCAAAAGTTCCTTAGGAAATTTCCTGTACAATATTTAAACTGTGGTAGTTGAAACTATAACTGGGAAATCAATAGATTATTACTACATTTAAGTACTAAAACTGCCTTAGTTAATGAGCTAGACATAAAACACCCTTGATAGATAATAAATGAACAGAAATATGATTACTAAAATTATTTCACCTGCACAAGTATCTCTGCTAGGGTCAGGAGACAGCACTTCTATCTCTAATAATGCAGAGCTAACAAAAATGTAAATCTTTTACAATACAAACTTTGGCCTTTGATAATACTAAATTTTGAATTAATTTCCCAAGTTACTAAACTTGTGTAGATAAGGCCAATGACCATTTTAAAAATGAAGCCATGATCTCTTTTCCCAACTGAAATGAGTAGTTTCATAATTTTAATCTAAAACTGTTAACTATTTAATCATATGATAATTAGAATGCATTGAAATGATACTTACACTGCTAGGTAATTACAAGTAAATCATTACAGGGTAAACATTTATTTAAGTTTTCCAATTCAGAATCTAGGTTATTATCCTCTTCTTAAAAGCTGAAGCATCCTGTGTTTGCTTTTAGTCACCAAAAGGATGTATTTCACCTAATTACTTGAGAGATCATTTGTGGAAGCAGCATACACTATTAACTCAAAGTATCAGGGGAAAATGCGTAAAGTTAACTAACATCTGCAGGACCTCTTTGAAGAAAATTATTCCTTCTCATTTTTTTCTAAGAAATGGTTTTAGAAACAAATTATCCTACTTTCTATAACAAATTAGACGTGCTTGAGCAAAAGTATGAAAGAAAGTTTGGTGAATCTTAAATGGATCTTAATTGTGTTATCTTCAGTTTTTCTAAACAAATCATAAAACCATGGTGGTTACAGGATAATGCATTTGAAGTGGGAGATTTGTTTTAATTCCTCCCCCCACAAAGAAGTAACAAAAGAATAATTTAAATGAGCATCACTTTAAATTTAAACAATACAAAAATCTCATTTTATACAGTAAATTAAATAGGATATTCTGAGAAATGGTTTAGATATTTTCATTCTTAATAATATGATAGAAAATGTCATCATGGAGAATTTATTCTAGATTTTCATAAAGCAGTCATAATTCTCTTTTTCCTGTCATCTCTAGCAAATTATAATTTTCATCAAAACTTTCCATAGTAGTTAGACTGTACTATTGTACAAAATATTTAAAAATTTCATTAAATTTTCATTTTTGAAATGTTGTTATAAAAATGTATTTACTATATATGACACTCTTTTTTTTTTTAGCTCTCTGAGGGTATAACTATCTTCTAGTTTAAATTTAAAACAAATTTATTTTATTTTATTGAATTTTAGATGTCTATGTTTTTAAGGCATCTAGAAATTTTAGAGTTGTATCTGTATCATCATCACTGTATTAATAATAGAAAAAACACATACTAGCATTTAGATTTGCCTAGTTTTCCACATCTTTTTTTTAGAATCTTGTTTTTTACTATATTTAATATAAATAAGACCATTTTCATTACTACAGTACAATTCTTGGTGATACATCTTTATATGAAAGAAAAGAAGGTTTACTTAGATTGCCTTATTAAGAGCAAAACTCAGTACCACTGAATGTTAATTCACATTTATAAATTGCACCTGAATTTGACCTATGTAATACATAAAGGCAATCGCATTATGTAATATATTCTTTACTGATATGAATAAATAAAAATAATACAATTTCATTTTATTTTAAAAATTCATTTTAACTATTTTATTATTCTAACATTATATGATGCAATTGAATGTGTGTATATGTGTGTATGCATATACACGTAGATAAAATATGGATGAGATTTAGAAACAATGACCTATATTCTTTTGCCAAAGCCCTTATGACATAATACATGATGTCAAATAGATGTCAATCTGTCCTCTACTCCCTGATATTCCATATGTCAATATAAAAAAACTATGTATTAACACACCTATCAATTCTGACCTTTGGAAGGTAAATGTACGATGAAATCATGGGCTCTATTAATGTTTAATGAGATGAGATATTTTGGTACTTTCTACACATATACTGTAAATATGAGTAGTACATATGTTATGTACTACATTTTTTTAAGAGGATACTTTAAGGGTACTCACTATGTTGCCCAGGCTTGAGTGCAGTGGCTATTCACAGGTGAGATTATAGCACACTACAGCCTTGAACTCCTGGTCTCAAGCGATTCTCATACCTCAACACCCTGAGTAGCTGAGACTATAGGTGTACACCACATGTTTCTAATGATAGTAATTTTTAATAATAATTAAATAAGCCATGCTATTCTCTAGACAGCTTTTATAATACATTTTATGTCAATAATGCCTAGTTTAATCTAGCTTTGAATTGCCTTAGTATAATCAGGATTAGAAATAAATCTAAAATATTCTCATAAGGAATTTTAGCACTAAGTGAATAATTTTGAAAACTAGGTATGACGGCTTGCATTTATAAAAATGAATATGATGAATCTAAATAGATGTAGAATGTGTTTACTTGTGAGTTCCACAATACATTGAATTAGAATTTGATGCTGAAGCATTTAAACATCTTCTGAAAAAACTCTGTTTGTACATACTGACACTGAATGAAGCCCATATATTAATGATTTCCCTTAGGAATCATGATATATGATACTTATGACTAATAGTCACAAAAACCTTGCAAACCCTTTTCTGATTAAACAATTATCTAATATTTAAATGAATATTCAGTTTTTTAAAGAATATAATACTTTTTTTCTAAAATTTTCATTCAAGTGTAGCTATAACGCAACGTGACATATCTAATTTATTCACTGCATATTCACAAAGATGATTCAGTTATAATGTGTAAATTCATCCTAATATTACTATTTAGACATAAATAATATTTAGATTTATTTAAATTTAGACATACATTGTATTTATTAAGTTATTTTGTAAGTAAATGATCTAGTTTGGAAGCCAAAATTAATAAATAAGAATGAACAGAAATAAAGCCCATAGTGTTTAATATGCAAAATGTGATTATTAACACTTTTCCAATCACTACAAACCCAATGATAAGATGATACTTTTACAGAATTGAGTTTTAACTATTTAAATTTAGCCAATATATTTTATTTAGTAATAAATTAAAGCAGAAAACAGCAGTCTGAAAATATTTATAGGAATACATACCTGTACATGTGAAGAATTTAGATTCTCCCACACTAAGCTCTACTTTGCTCAGTGAAATTGTCACTTGAAGAAGAGCTGAAAAAAATGAGTAATAATCAATTGTGGTTTTAAACATGATTTCTAGGATTTTAATACAAAATTTCTAAACCACATGGTCCAAACAGCAATTACTTTCCCTACAAAATTTTATTATTTATAAAGAAAAATGAAAGTTTTGTAAAATGATATGCAACATCATATATGTTACATTATTACACATTTTACAGCCAGATCAAATAACACATTCAAGTTAATATGTTGAAATTTTGTTGTTCAAGAAAATGATCAAATTCATATTCTGACATCTGTTCCATTATATCCTGATATTTTGGCCTTATTCACAGGTTAAGCCTTATATGTACTACCAGAGTGAGCAATAACAAAAGGTTGTCCAAAAGTTGGAACTTAGAAAAAGTCCTCTACTGCAATTACAGCAATAAAAACATATATATAAATTACATTTTGGCTAGCTACTAAAATATTTCCATGCAAGGAGGCATACATAGGGAGGGGAGCATTGTGGCGTAGGGAAAGGTGAATGAGCATTGATTTTCACAAGATCAATAAGCTAAGTTAAGGAACCAAGACAATGGCAATGAAATAGAGGAGATGCTCAATATTTTAAACATTTGTTGTTAACATTGAAATGAAATAGCTGAATATTCTAGAATTTTAGAAGATAATGAAAATGTCATTTTAATGTGAATTGACAGATGTATTTTTAATAATATGATGAAAAAGATAGTGTGACCATTCCCCCAAATTTACTCCACCATCCCATGCTCTTAGAAATGCATAGTTGGGCTTTCATTAAAGCAATGAAACTGCAAGGGATAGATGGAAAATGCACACACACACACACACACACACACACATATACATATATATCCAAAGCTTATTTAGGTGAGTGTGAACTACACAGAGATAAGATCCAAACTTGTTTAAAAATAACAGAAAGATACATAATACTAGACAACACTGGACCAGAATAATACACATCCTCAAAGGAGGTTGTAGAATCAATCAACTCACAGGATTGGGATATGACAGGGAGACTTGCCTCCCTTGAGCTGGGTAAAGGGGAAATGTTTCTCCTTAGATTAACTAGATGTTCTGCCATATCCAAGGTTTGGGATTTTAATTATAAACACTGCCATAAACATTCAGGTACAGATATCTTTATTATAGGATGTCTTTTGGTCTTTGGGGTAGATGCCTAATGGTGACCCTTGTGTGGCAAAAATGAAATCTTATATCTTTGACTTTCCTTATCAACTAATTTAATGTAATCACAGAGAAAAATTGACTTTTGAATTTTTTTGTTACATCCATTCACTACCTTTTGTTACCTCCATGTCCTACCTTTTCCATTGATCTTGGCTACTATTCAATCCCAGATACTCCTTACAGCATATCTTACAGGCTTTCCCACTGTAATTGGTTTTGTCAGTCATCTGCCTCCTGACCAGTGTCAACTAAAAGCCCATTTTGCCAGGTTATGTCTATTATAAATAATTGAATAGATGGAATAAGTCAGATTGCTATGGTTTTGAGACTCCAGAGTCTTTCCAAATGATTTCTTCAATATATCAACAATATACTGTGTGAGATGAACATCATCATATATTTCCTGAATGTTACTTGCATATTTCTTCCCTTACCCCAATAGGAATGCACTCCTCCTTTCTGTGTTTTACAACACTATCTACTCATTTTTTGTCTTTTTATTTTATTGTTCTTCATGACAAGCATTCTTGATCATAGATTTTTTAATGGCCATTAAGTGCATACACACCCTCTTGTTTTCGTGTTCCATGATATTTATGTAGTTCATGTACCTTCCACCCAATAATTGTCATAATCCTTGATGCAATCAGCGATGGTATATGTCTGAGTGTAGACCATAGCAGTAGGGTCATAGGCTAAAAGAATGATTTTGCAAACTTGTATAATGGCGCTTCATAAATACTAAATGAATGATGATAATTTTAATTATCAACTCCAAAGCATTGTATTACATGTTCTTCTTTGAGACAGTGTTCACAGAGAACAAGGTATTATCAAAGTTTCATTTGAGTTCTTTGGGGTTTAAAATTTTCTTATGTAATGTCTCTCTTGTGGAGATGTTAATGATATTTATGAATAGCTGGATAGCAATCAAATGACATTCATGTTCCAGTTTCTTATAGACCTCTTTTGGGAAATTAGGAAACCATTAATTTCTCTGACATTTGGGTCAGAATCAGTCATTTGGAGGTGGACACAGATCTAGATGACTCACAGAAGAAACCCTGGATGTTAATCACTAGAGCATGATTAAGGAAGAAGTCGACCTCAATTTTAGTTTTCAGGTTTTACTGCATGAAAATATTTTATACATTCGTAGAGGCAAATTTAGAGCCAGTCTGACTTTGAGAATGTGAGTAAGAAGTTGTTTTTTTATATTCTTTAATTGTTATATAGCAGTGAAAGTACATCATTGTGCCCCAGCACCAAAATGTCCGATGAAAATATGGCTTAATTAAGGGTGAATTGATAATTTGTACTGAAGAAAATTAACCAGTATTTAATAAATAATAATTAGATTCCATGCTCAATTTCATTTATTACAATGAATATAATTATTTATAAATTCATCAGTAAATCAGTATAAAAATGCACAGAACACTGTATTTAACTTTTAAAGTCCTTATCTTTCAATTTGTCGTTTTCCTATACACTCTCTTAGAAAAAGCAAATATACTCCAAATCAAGGTAGAATTATTAAGAGAATTGGAAAGCATTAGCGCAAACTCTCTTGAGTATCCTTAAATACCAATTAAAGTAATGAAGTCATTCAAAATTTTATTGCTGTTAATACTGTCAATGTTCCGTTACCAGCATTCACAATGAGCTCTGAGTAAGTGGTTTTCCATTATTTTGCTCTAATCGCATTCATACATTATCAGTCCTGGGAGTACAAAGGTTTGATTGATGATCCTGATTCATGAATTTATTTCAAATTAGGAGTAGAGAAATGAATATATTACTCACCATTGTTCATTTATTTAGAGAAATTTACTGATCAAAGATATTTATTGATTGGATATTCCATAGATAAGCTATCATGCATTGTTTGTAAATACTACTCATATTTTAGATTTCATGAGACACAGTGAAACATTAATGAAGCAAATGTGGCAAGGGAGGAATTAATCCTAGTCATCTAATGCAGCAGAAACATTCTAGGAATCAATTGGAAATGAAACTGTGAAGGTACTGTTTGTTTTCTTTCATAAAATTGTTTATATATTTAGTTGGATAAAGCAAATCCACTTTTAAGACTTGAGTAGGAGGATGAAATTAAAACAGATTTAGAAGTGTGGTATACAGTAGGTCCAAGAAATATTTTGGAGGGCAAAAGACATGTAAACGATATAAATCAGAAAAAGAAATATGAAGGCTGACAAAATATATTGAATAAAATTAATGATGCTGAATATATTCATGGTGCTGTAATTATATAACACTGTTTCTTTATCAATCATTGTTGTTGGATACCTAGATTGATTCCATATTTGGCTATTGTGAATAATGCTGCAACATAAACATGGGGATGCAGATGTCTTTCAATATCTTGATCTCCTTTTTCTATGCATCTTTACTAGCATTTGATAATTATTGTATTCTAATAATTTGCTATCCTAACTGGGTCAGATGATACTACCATTGTGGTTTGTTGATTTGCATTTCCCTAATGATCAGTTAAATGTTGATCATTTCCTTTAACTTGTTCACCATTATGGCCTTCTTTGAGAAGTCGTTCAGATAATTTGTCCTTTAAAACAAAAAAAGAAATCCCTTTCTATTCATGGAAGATAGAGCTGGAAGAACATTATGTTTAAGTGAAATAGTCAGGAATACAAAGAGAAATATCGTGATGTATCCACTATATGGGAAGCTAAACCAGTTGGTCATAGAATGCTAGAAATTAGCGAATGATATATCGAGGCAGAAGGTTGGGGCTGAATGAAGAGAGATGATTAATGGGTACAAACATACAGTTAGATACGAAGAATAATCTCATTGTTAATAGCATACTAGGCTGAACTCTCATGTTAACAACAATTTACTGTATATTTCAAAACCAGATAAAATATTTGAAAGATTCCAGCACGAAGAAGTGATAAATATTTGAGGTGATGGATATCCTAAAACCCTGACCTTGATCATTTTACTTTGGATGCATGTATCAAAATATCAACATGCATCCATAAATATTTATAATTATCTGTATTAATAAAAGTAAACATAATTATGTATGTTGTTAAACAATAAACAAAGCACCCATACAAATGATATTTCAGGGATGCATTCACCAAGATTGGAAAGCTGATTCATGTTGACTCAGTGAAGCAAATTTTTTGGTGAATGTAATGGTTCAGTTTCAAATAGAAAGTTGAAATTAAGTATTTTAATCCCCACTGAATATTAGCTGCCGAGTTGGAGATTGTAGGATTATATTTTGGGGAAATACAAATTAAAACAGTACAGAGAGAAAAGGGAATTCTGATGCCATGAATAAGATGGTGTGTTAAAGGACAAACTAAAGAGAGGAAAGAAATGAGAAGAGGCGGACATCAATTATATTTTTTTCCTTTTTTTAAAAAAAACCCTAAAATCTCTTTTCTGCCTTCTGTCCATTCTATCTATAACATTCCAAGTCCTTCTCCAATATTATCAAATCCCTGCCCCTATCCCCAGAATTGTGGATCCCAATAACTCCCATCCATTTTTTTTCAGATTCAAGCTTTTATAAGCAATTTCAAGACTTCTTGAGTTCTGTAATTTACCATCTGTCTAATCCATCCATGAAACCAAGGTTCACTCTATGGAATGTTACTTCTTAAAAAGAAAATTTCTGTGAATTCACCTAAAGAATTGGCATTTGTGATTTTTATTTAGATAACTCTTTTTCCCTTGCATTCTAAACTAGTTCTCGTTCTTTTCTTGTGACTTTGCCTTTGTTTTTAATCTGTTTCTCTCCTG